GATGCTTTTGGTCGCTCTATAGCTAGAAGGCGGACTTAGTCACCTACAGTTTCATACGAGTGGATACGAAACTCCTTCTAGAATCTATCTGATACGTCGGCATTCACCACTTCTCTAATCCTGTGTGGTTGTAAAACTTCTTTTACGGACTACCCCACGCGAGCCTCCGCCAAGTTTTACATACGGCAGTTAATTCCTTGGATCGAAACGTTTTTCTCCAGGACCGCACACATTCCTATTTCAATCGCCGGCAAACCTCATGAATTCACTCTCGTTGGTCCGCAGGACGTCGTAGCCCTATGGGAATCCCCACTTTAGGTGTGCGTGAGCCCATTTCCCCCCGACCATTTCACCGCCGACTAACTTCGCAGTATTCGCAATCATGTGAAGGCAGCCTATACAGTTGGGTTCTAGAAGGAGCTCTTATCCACGTGTATGACAGCTGCCCGCGACTGAGCTCGCCTTCTAGCATTAGTGCGACCAAAAGCATCACACCTTCACTGTGAAGGAGTGGCTTCGCCAGCATGGCGCGCTTTCAACGAAAGGAACAATTCACACCAATGTCCCGAGCGCCATCGAAACATTATGGGAAAGAGTAGGGATACCTTTGGTGGAAATAAGAGCCGGAAATATGGGCGAGAAACTCGTCAAATTTCAAGAGAAGTGGAGGAAGCTGCCCTAGTAGACAGTGCATTCAATGACTGATTCCTTACTTAGGCCTTGTTAGTATTTCAGCGAACCCAGAAGATCATTAACAAAGTATTGGACCTGCCCAGTGTTATTCATCATGCGTAAGATTGTTTTGTTGAATTGTAAGCTTGCTAGAGTAATTTGAAACCTACTTGGAATTTGCTCATACGCGAGAATTTCTAGTGAAATGATTTTTTCCATTCTTAATTCTTTCTCAATCCGAAACAAATATGCCGTTAAGTGAAGTAGGACTATCTCTAAAACATATTAAAATTTGAATTGATTTGATTCAGCGGAAAAAAAGTTACAGTCGAAAAACAATTTCGGCGAAGACTTTTGACCGCTACTGTATATATAAATATATATATATAGCATATGTGTGTGTGAACAGAAATCGCTGGTGGGTGAAGCTGTCTGGGAAGGACTTAGCTAAAAAAATGTGAACGTATACGTGTATGTATGTGTGCGTCACTAAATGTACGCAAAAAATCCGCCCAGCGAGGACTCGAACTTTTGATCTTTCGAGCACGAGACCAGACACCTAACCGTTACGCCATGGTGAGACGCTCTTTCACCTAACTTTGCGCCTATTGCATAAGCGAAAGTGTACGAAATTGAAGCACTTCATGCATGCAAAAACTCCTTCTCAACGAGGACTCGAACCCTTGACCATGCGAACATGAGACAACACACCTAACCACTCCGCCATGGAGAAGCACTACTCGCTGACTGTGCGCCTAACCCATAAACGAAAGTGATCACTATAGGCGCATGCAAAAACTCCTACTCAACAAGGACTCGAACCCTTGACCATGCGAACATGAGACAACACACCTAACCACTCCGCCATGGAGGCACTACCTCGCTGACTGTGCGCCTAACCCATAAACGAAAGTGAATCACTATACGCATGCAAAAACTCCTACTCAACAAGGACTCGAACCCTTGACCATGCGAACATGAGACAACACACCTAACCACTCCGCCATGGAGAGGAAAGGCGCGGATAGCCGTTCAAATTGGATATGGTTTGGTGTTTCCCATACCGTACCTACTGCTAGAAGATCAACATGGGCACATAATTTATGGCGTACCGTGTGCTTACAAACTCCTATAGGTTTGCCATCCTCATGTTTGGGAACACTTTGCGGCCGCGCACATCAAAAAACTCACGGATACACGAACGGTTTGCGAAATGCTTCGGCACACATGCGCCCTACTCTGGTAACGGATCGTTCTAGGTCGGTATACATTTAGCGGAAATTATAGCGTGGAAGATCAGCGGCGGCACTGGTGCAAATAGTTTGCTCAGGTATTCTCCAATAACTAAGAGAGGATCTGTTCAAGCACAGATATGCTGGAGGCAATGAAGAAGCCTGTGCGCAGGATGCAAGGGCCAAAATCGTCATATCGTGTATGCCCATGTAGGTGTTTTACTGGACGTTGTGGTTTACTACCTGATTCACCGCCATGACCATCGGAAAGTGTTGTGTTTTGGGTTACGAACGCTAGGTCCGCTAAAGCACTGTTTCTTCCAATGAGCGCGGCTATGAGGGCATCCTTGCCCTCTTTAGGTCTCGTAATAGCGGATTGAATCTCGTTGCTTGGGGTGTCCGCTGTGAGCACCGTATTCCGCCATATTATTGGTCATTCATATGTGGAACGATTCGTACTTGTATGGGTAGTGTCGGGAAATCGAGTCATACTACGGGAGGCACGGCAGAAGTTCGCGCTTGAGAGAGATTTCCTTGCTTGTACACTGTGTTCAATAATGATACAGCCACCTAAAATTTGTTCGAAAACTTAAAGTTCATAGAGTTTCTGAAAAACTGTCCAGATAGAAAATGTGACAAATTTCATGGCGAGTTCAGATATCAACACAAAAATCCATGTCGAAAACACTAAAAATTTTGTGCTTATTTTTTCAGAAGAGGTCGATTTTCCTATGTTCAAAAATGATACAGCCACCCCGTGTTTCTTCGTTGAAATTCATTTTTGCTTCATGAAACTGATTCGCAGTTATCAGGCTTTCACCTTAATGTTCCCACAAGATAAAAAAGACAGTTGGTTTGAAAAAAGGTAAACTGTAGCAAAAAAGGACCAGGAATCGTCAAGCAGTCATATTGCGCAAAAATTGAGTCAAAGCTCCAATACGGTTAACAATCTTTTCTGGAATCCTGTAGGTTATGGAACAAGAAGAGCTCTGGATGTTCATCATTGCTTTTTGGTCAAGTTAAACTTCGCATTTTGGGGAAACATTTCAATTTCATCGAACAGTGCCCGGAATTCCAGTCTTCTTTCAGAATTAAACTTTCAATGGATATTGTTTGGGATGTGTTGAAGATTTTCCGAGGTCATTCAATGGAGAATTAAAGAAACCTTGTTTGTGAAAAGAAATTCTCGAAAACTGAGACATTTTTTGCTCGAAAGTGTAGCCACGTCCACTGGAGCAAGATCAGTTCTTTTGTCTGTTATGTCTTACTTTCTGTCTGCGTTTCTCTCAATGTTTTTTCGCTTCATAGGAGTCTAATGAAAGGAAAAACCCTTAATGAGGAAGGAAAAACTCAAAAGAAGTAAACAGAAAGTAAGACACAACAGACAAAAGAACTGATCTTGCTCCAGTGGACGTGGCTACACTTTCGAGCAAAAAATGTCTCAGTTTTCGAGAGAATTTCTTTTCACAAACAAGGTTTCTTTAATTCTCCATTGAAGAATGACCTCGGAAAATCTTCAACACATCCCAAACAATATCCATTGAAAGTTTAATTCTGAAAGAAGACTGGAATTCCGGGCACTGTTCGATGAAATTGAAATGTTTCCCCAAAATGCGAAGTTTAACTTGACCAAAAAGCAATGATGAACATCCAGAGCTCTTTTTGTTCCATAACCTACAGGATTCCAGAAAAGATTGTTAACCGTATTGGAGCTTTGACTCAATTTTTGCGCAATATGACTGCTTGACGATTCCTGGTCCTTTTTTGCTACAGTTTACCTTTTTTCAAAATCAAACTGTCTTTTTTATCTTGTGGGAACATTAAGGTGAAAGCCTGATAACTGCGAATCAGTTTCATGAAGCAAAAATGAATTTCAACGAAGAAACACGGGGTGGCTGTATCATTTTTGAACATAGGAAAATCGACCTCTTCTGAAAAAATAAGCACAAAATTTTTTAGTGTTTTCGACATGGATTTTTGTGTTGATATCTGAACTCGCCATGAAATTTGTCACATTTTCTATCTTTTTCAGAAACTCTATGAACTTTAAGTTTTCGAACAAATTTTAGGTGGCTGTATCATTATTGAACGCAGTGTAGTTGTAGAGGCTGGTAGCAGGCTATAGTGGCAAAAGGTTTGAAAATGACCTCTTCTTTCGCAACGGTAGCAAACGATGTCCGAATTTGGTCCTCTTTCCCAAAATATCTTCAATCTGTTATTCGGGGATGAAAAGGCTGAGGTTTCCTACGCTGTTGTCTTGGATGTCTTTGTCGGTATAGGTCCGGTCCAAATGAAGCGGGGGTTTTTCTGCGGCTACCACACACCACCTAGACTCATATGTAGTAGCTTTAACCACAGCTTCATCGAAAGTAAGCGGATTTGCGGCTTTTACATGAATCTGAGCGCGGGTTTTAATCTGTCCTGGAATTCATCCAGTAGGCGCTCATTCTGTGCTTGTTTAGGCTGACCCCGACTTACTTTCTTAACAATCTGCTTTACTCAATCAGCAACTTAGCGTGCACTTTCAGTCCCACCTTGCTTACAATCAGAGAGTTGTTACCCAGCCAAACTTCGAAATTGGGGCGACTCAAAATGCGTGCGAAGGTGGTCAACCACTTTTCGCATAACGAATTTTCATCGATGTCCGACAGGTCATCGATGATATCCCCGGTCCCTTCCTCCAGAAAACGACCAAAGTGTTAATACGGAGTTGGTCTGGTAATGGGGGAGTGACCATGTGAACCAGGTCTTCAAATTTTCTCAACCAACTCTCAAAATCCTGATCGTCAGATCCAGAAAAACATTTGATCGGTTTAGGTGTGAGCTGCCCGTAGGTCAGGCCACAAATGGGTGTAGTCACAGGATCACCCTCCATGGAAGGGTTTTCCTGAGGACGGCTAGAAGAAGTTGCCTGATTAGAAGTTGGCATGTTATAGGGAGATGGCAATGACTGATGAGAAAGGTTTTGAGAAGCAGGCGGACTTCTAATTGAGCTCTGCGAACATGTGATCGTTGCACTAATGATGGGATGCTTGCGAGGAGTATCCTCCTGAAAACACGACAGTAAAGAAGGCCGATAAGTGCCTCCGTTGGACTCTATATACTCGTTCAACTTTACACCCCCTATCAGCGTTTGTCATCGCAGCCGATGTTTCAATTTGCGTTGGGAACTGTTTTCAAAGCGCTTTGTTTGATTCTGAAGCTTGGGAAAGCGCCAGAAAGAATTTGCGTCATTTGCTGTCTGAAAAAATCATTGTGTCGATGCGTTAGCTTCTGCGCCCGCGACTGACGAAGAGTTGACGACGACTCTCTGTGTCGGAGGGGTACTGTAGACGGGACCTGTCATAAGACCACGATCAAATCATTCATTCTCGCCTGTCCTGCCCTCATTCTCGCCTGTCCTGCCCTCATTCCCGCCTGTCCTGCCCTCACTGTGCGGTTGCTCAAGTTCCGGTCTCTGCCTCAATGCCTCCGAAAAGAAATTCTTCCAACGACGAGCCAGCCTGGCTGACGCCGATTCTCACGAGGTGGGATCAGTATTTTGAGCGGTTTGACAAAGTTTTCGAGAGACTCAAAATACTATTTTGAGTAAACTAAATTTGATTGAGGAAAAGCTTGCTATGGATGAGCAGGCCCCAAACTCGAGGTCTGCTCTCTATAGCACGCTTGTAAAATTTAAAGCTGATTCAAGGACCGTCGACGCCAAGGCATGTCGAATAACTTGGGTCGGCATAGCCGAGCAGAAGACGGAAGAAGGCACCTCGCGCCTTCGATAGAGAGGCCGTCAAAGAGGTCATCGACTCATCAGGGGACGATGACCTGCTGAGAGAATTTAATTGCGGTAAGATTGAGATCAATCGCCACCCAAAAGTGAGAACCAACACCCGCAGCCTTCGCCCGCGTATTATAAAAATTACTTTAGGAAGCCAAGAACTTAGGGACAGGCTGTTAGAACATATGAGAGCCGGTCGGCAAGTCGCTGACGAAGGGTTTTGTGCATTCCTATGCCAGGACCGACTACACGAGGGAAGAGCTTGACTACGACAGAGCCCTCAGAAAGAAAGCCGGCACCATGAATAGTCGGGAAGGTAAGCTTTTGTACGTCGTTCGCGATCTCGCTATTCACAAGCTCCGTACCCCGCGCGACCTGCCCACAAAAAACTTTGGCTCAGAAACGTACCCCTCTGACAACAGTTTGACCTCCTCTCACGATCACACCGTTGGTCTTGCCTCCGCCCTCTCCCTTTCCGTCCCCTCCACTTCGGCCGCCACCTACTAGGGAATGGGAACAGCAAATGCGCTTCCCCGCACTCCAAAAACTATCTCTTCTCTTGACAACAACCGACGGCTATCCCACACCTTTGCACTGTTCAATGCTAGATCAATAGTAAATAAGCTTCCTGACCTCAACTTTTGGTTACAACAAAATTTAGATGGTTTGTTCATCACCGAAAGCTGGTGTAAGCCCTACCTCGTTCACGACGCCATTCTTAGTTCGAACTCAACCTACGAAGTGCTCCGATGTGATCGTGAGGGGAGCAGGACTGGAGGTGGTGTACTGGCGCTTATTCACAAAACAATTTCTTATCAGGTTTTCGTCAAAAAAGATTTCAATTCCGAAATTCAAACTCTAGTGATCCAACTGCGACTGCAGAATCTCAAGTTACTGCTAATCCTAGCATATCGCAGCCCATCATGTTCTACACACACTTTTTGCGACTTCATTGATCTTGTTCGCAATATCTGCAATGAATATAGCCACCAAATTATCGTCTTAGGGGACTTCAATTTCCCACTTATTGATTGGACAAACATGTGCCACAGGGGGAACGCTTCCACCCCTTCCTCTTCCGTATTTCTCGACTTCGCAAAAGCGTTTGATATGAAGCAGCTTGTCACTGAACCAACGCACGGATTAAATATTCTGGACATCCTACTGGTTTCCCAACCCACCCCTGTTACCAGTCATTGCGTTCTTCCCCCTTTCAGTGTCTCAGATCATAATTCTATCAGATTCGAAGTATCGGATGGCAGTTCAGCTCCCGTCAAAAAAAGTAAGATCTATCGTAACTTCGCAAAAGGCGATTACGAGGCTATTAACTCAGCCTTATCTCAGATGGACTGGACAACACTTCCAGCAGTATTGACGACTTTTACTCAGAATTTCTCAGTATATGCCACCAACTTATAGAAAAGTACATACCCCTTGCTCGACAAATTGACGAACAAGAAAAGTATCCAGGCGAATACATTTTCTCAAGGCCAAAGTGAGCTTCCTTCACCATATGAACGACATCCGATACCGAATCTACGCAAAGGGTGATGGAGCATATGTCGGAAGTTACGGGCTATCTCTTAGAGCAGGAACCCTTACTTTCATCCTAGCCAAACACGGATTTCTTAACGAACAAACATCCGAACAACATCAGCTTCATAGTCATCATTCGTCGCCTTTGGCTAAAAAGAATTAAGCAGGCGCGAGCTTATGTTCTATGTTTCGGTTTGCTATATCGATTACGCTAAAGCGTTTGACTCAATCTCGATCCCACTCCTTGTCAAGAAGCTTGAGGCGTATGGAATCAAAGGTCGCTTACTAGAATTTCTTCACTCCTTCCTTAGCGGTAGGGTGCAATCTGTCAAAGTGAATGAAAGCTTGTCCCCTGCGTACTCCACCCCAAGCGGAGTACCTCAGGGAACATGCTTAGGACCTCTCATGTTCATACTTTTTGTGAACGACTTGAACACTTGCCTCCCTCATGGAACCTTCTGCAGCATGTATGCGGATGACGCCAAAATATACACAATTAACGACTGTTATACGCTACAAAATGCGATAAACGCTGTAGAAGTTTGGTCTAAAATGTGGAGTCTTGACATCTCACTGCAAAAAACAACCGTGATGGGATTGGGGAGAGGTCATCCTGATTTCTCCTTTACTCTCGACGGCACTGCACTCACCCGCGTGCACCAGATTCGCGACTTGGGAGTAAGCTATAATGATAAACTAGACTTTGATGACTATATAAAGAGCAGGATTCAGGCTGCATATTCAGTTTCTAACTACATACTCAAGGCATTCAAAACCCGTGAACTATCATGCCTTTTCCGACTTTTCGCGCTGTATGCCAGGCCCTTGTTGGAGTATTGTACTCCGCTTTGGTCACCTCATAAAAGACGCTTAATCGAAGATATCGAGAAGGTACAAAAGAGCTTCACATACCGTTGTTTTCTGCGCAGAGGTATTACATCTTGCTCTTACGAAGAGCGGCTTCGCATACTTGGGGCAGATATGCTCGAATTTCGAAGAAAATTGACAGATTTTTCCTTGATGTACAAACTGACTAATTGCCTACAGCTGTCTGACCTTTTCGAGATACCGCCTGAACCATCGCTATATCAAGAGGCCACCCATACAGAATAAGACCTGACAAACCCAACTCCAGCTCTCTACGGCGCGATCATTCCTTGTAAGCGTCCGGCCCTTTGTGAATGCGGTGCGCACCCGATCCTTCTCTCACACATGGAACTCCCAATTCAGGTCACCTGGCTGCACTTTAAAAAAGCAAACAATTAGACAAGGATGGGGCTAATCTAGCATGGTCCGAAGAGCAAGGCACTAAAAGATTTGCCTGTCAGGATTGCGACTTTCACGCTCTTCTTTTGTAGCTACTCTACCCTATCGATTTGGGCTAATGTGCCTGCTACACGATTGGGCAACGCGACCCGTCATCATTTGGCAGCTCGATATGTGGCACTTGCCAACCGGCAGAATGGCTCAGAGCGAGTGCGCGCGCTTCGTGTGCGCTCGTGACCGGGGGTTCGTCCCCATATACGGGAGTCTCGGATCGCCCGTCGCGTACAGTTTACAAAACTTCATCTCTTACATGATAGGGTATTGTGAGCCATTGTGCTTTTCTGCGCACCGATTCTGATTTATACTATATTTTTTCCTCTATTTATGTTCTATTCGAACTCGGTGCGTCCGGTTCTCTCGCTTAGAGAGAACCGGCCCCCCAGTTCCCCGCAATAGGGGAACTGGGGGGGATCTACAATCAATATCTATGGGAGGTTTTGACGGTCAAAGGGTAGTGAACTAGTTTCCTCGTTGCCATTGAGAATTTCAGCCTACCATTCAACTGGAACAAAGTGAATACGATCAATCAAGATATGTATATCCCATCTTGATATGTAAATGGTGGATAATACTTTTTTCAGATGTTTTTTTTTGCTCCCGATTTACGACGTTCATTCCCTAAAACCTATACACGAATTTTTTTTCAGTTGTCTATTTAGAAAAGCTCCTTAGGATTCTGGCTGGGCGAGTCATTATGCCGTTGTCAAGAAGAGTCGTCACCTGTTCCATGATATTCATATAAAGTTTTTTCTCTTTTTTCGCAATTGTCATATTGAAAACTCCGAATGGTACGGATTGGCTGCCCCCAAAATATTTAATTCTGCTCATGCTCTTTCAATTCCATTGGGGCTATTTGCTCACCCCTTCCTGCTGGGCCCTTTCCGGCTATATTTATCCATATACCCACTCCTATTTCAGCACGCAAACTTACGTAAATACCCCCGAGCCAGCGCCTGGGGTTCGTGTTTAGATCAAAGAGGTGCCGCCTGCACCCGCCCCTGTTGCGTTGCGGCCTCGGCAGTAGGATTATCTTCAGGGCCTTTTAGCAACTTTGCGTGCACCCTCCCCCTTTTTTCGGCTATCAGTCGGTAACGGTTCACATGTATCGGGTCGGCATCTAGCCCCTTTTTCTCCTTACCACAAACACTAAATTGAATTTTGAGTCAATCAATCTTGTGCCATCCCGGGTCCAATTATTATTTTTTTACTCACTGTTACGATTGACCTGTAAATAAATAAATAAATAAATTTCAGAGAATAAAAAACAAAGACGGCTTCATTTTGAAATTCAAATTTGCCATTTCGGAGTCGAAAGAGTCGCATTGGGGCTTCGGAGAAAGAAAATCCTGGCGGAGCTGCCGCTTCGAAGGAACCGACTGCAGCAGTGAACTAACTTTCTAAATTACTAAGTTCGAAATTAATGTGGGGGGGGGAAGCTAAGTGCGATTTGGTAATCGTTTCTATTTTGGTTCCACTCGCTAACCTTTTTAGAGATTTTTTTCAGCAATTGACAGATAGGCTTTTGGCTGTTTACACCCGAGTGTATAAACGAATACACTTCACAACGAATAATTCACCGTCAGTCACACCACTGCATTAAAAGCAAAGGAAACAAGCCATTTTCCTAGACCGCGACTATGCAGTCTTCAAAGGCCCATAACTTCCTTTAAGTTAATGTGATGAGAAGCGGTAAAGATTGTTGGAATCCACTCGAAGAGTACTTCATAACAGTGTGAAATTTTCCTGAAATTCTTTCTTCTGCCTCAATTTTCCTAAGGGGTCTCTAGAATTCAATTCAGCAAATTCGCTACACTTTGTTCCGCTTAGATTTGATTTGAAAGCATCAAAATTCTCTTCAGGAAGTTTGTCTGCTTACGGCCGCTGACAGAGAAGGCGTTTTATGGGAAAACGCCTGCTCGGGTATACGCCGTGCACCTGTCTGTGGTTAGAAGTCGCACTCGCATTTGAAAGTCCTCCATTTTCCTGAAGAAGGGTTTAGTCTCCTCTGCACTTTGTTCTTCTTAAACTTCTTCTCTTCTTTCAAAAATGTTCGATTATCGAAGACAGACCATGTTTTTGCACTACGCTGTAACAAAGTTTTTGGCTATTGTAATCTTGATCTATGCTGTCGAGCGAAAGCGCCGTCCGTGTATTAAGGATAATAATGGCTGATAGTGAGACTTATAATGCTCTGCATGCTCTAATGCTCCCATGGAGCTCTTGTCTGTGTGACTCTCCGACAGCTGCACGTGCAGAGCTCCTGGAGAACATTAGAGGCTGAAAGTGCACTCCCGGACACTGCACTTTTCAAGCCGTCTTGCATCTGTGGATACGACCCCCTCCCTTTTCGGTCGGCTGAATACGACCCCCTCGTTGTTCTTTGCGCAACGTGCGGTTGACCCTGGGTGGGAGGAGTACTGCAAAGCGCTCCTGAACGAGGAGTATCCCCACAAAGACAGCTCGCAAGAGTATTGACACTACGCAAAAATTCTTCATCCATGAGTAGCTTTCAATGACATGTGCCGGAAGAACAGCGGCCATTTCATAGCGGACGTCGGTGTTCTTCTGAATGGCATGGTGCCAGTGGATAGGGAAGTGGACGCACGTTCGTACTGTTAAAGGTTGGGTTCTTGGTTCGAATCCTGCTCGATGTTGGCATTTTGCATTTTGGACTAGCACTCACTTTTGGGCACCAGATAACACCAGCTCCTAGACAGATATCATATTCGCGAACTGGACCGCCAATAATCCAGTCTGAGTGCGGATTTTTGCGAATGCTGGTGGAAGCCGCTACGGTTGTAGCTACTAAAGTCAAGTTAAATTTTTATTTCATGCATTTCTGGTAACATCATTCAAACATAAATAGCTCTTCAAGCTCTTCCATCCCGAACAAAGCAAGTAGCTCGAAACCTAACAAATGTGTCCCTTTCCTTATTAATGTCCATGGTGGACTGTTACAATTAGTGCTAAGCAATATTCTATTCGTAAATCAGATCGTAGTTCCGGCACTGAATGTGGCTGCAGCAGCGTAGGCAAGATAGAAATAAGAAAGCACTCAGTATAAAGACAGATCTTATTTCGCCATACAATCAGCAGATCAAGCACGCTAGCGGGCAATAGGGTACCATGTAGTTCGGGTTCACATCGCATTCACCAGTTGCAGCCCAGAAGTTACACAATTTGTGGTTGTTCTCGCATCCTGGAATTTTTTCATTTAAGCGGCGAAATCAATCTCAAAATTAAGTTCATATGAGAATACAAGGATGAAAATAAAATCGAATAAAATCTTGAAAATTCCTTCTTCCTTCGGGAAGCTCGCATTTTTGATACATCGTGATCTCAATCTGTGATATTGTCTCTGTCATGGTCCGCAACATGTGTCCAACGATTCTGAAGCTTACACTTCCTGAGGCACCGAGCTATGGTAGCTATGAGCCAAAGAATGCTAGAATCCATCTCAATCCATCATTTTTTGGTTTTTGACTGTTTCCTCATAGTAGTGTAGCAGGTGAAAAAACATTGACTTGCAATTGAGTTCGTACAACTAAAGTCTTTGCTGCTTTACTCGTATACATAGAAGCGATTTTATATGATCAACAGCGTGAATACCGGCAGCTTCCCATCATACCCTGCTTCTTGTTCCTGGTCCTTTAAGAGAACCTTCAGATTGAGAATTTCGTTCAACGCTTTTTTTACTCTACCTAATATCATGTATCGGTGTGGTGTATCTGCCAGAGGAAGAGCGTCACAGTCACGTTTCACGAAGGGAGCAATATATGGTACTAACCCTGTTCGGATGGACATCGCACCTCACAGTGGCTGATATCCGCAAGTTATTGCATAAGCCTGGCGATCACTCAAAGACATGTCAGGCTCAGTACTGAGAAGTACCTCCCTTTAATGGAGGTGCTGGATTCCTTACAGTGATCATACCAATTTCGCGCCTCTGAACGCGGCACTAACAATAAGACGCTCGGAATTCGGATCCTGAATCATCCCATAACAATTGATACCCCTTCGATATCTTGTCTGTGTCATACTAGTGTTAACCTATTGTACTTTGCTCTCTTGGCTAGAAGCTCTTTTCCCTCTCCTAACTCACATTATCTCTTATCTAGCCGTCTGCTTCCTAAAGTTGTCCGCAGCGCGCAAAAGGAAAATTCTGTTTCTTTTGTTTTTGACGATTTCCTTTTCTTCTTTCTCTCTATGAGGTCCACTTCGCACCACTACTTTCATACTGTAAAGGCAGCATGTATTTTATACCGGTCTTTACCTTTGAAGTTATTTGCGCTTCCAAATGATTGACTATTTGTGATGCACGGTAAAGGCAAGGCCCAGGATTAGCCCGACTTGTAGGAAGGATACCGCGAAGGAAATTGTAAGGTCCGTACCTACTAGATCACTCCAGCTTCGTCGCAAAAATTGCGCGGTTAGGGCGCTAATCCTTACGGGCCTGCAACCATCGACCCCCGTTGCAACGCTTCCCACCCACCTCGATTGATATCAGCGTGCTCTCTCGAACGGCGTGATCTCTCGCGTGTTTTGTCTTCTTTGATCGCCCTGTCTCGCCATCGTACCACATCCGACCTTATTGAAGGTTAAGGCCTTAATTTCAGCGTTCCAAAGATTTCTCTTGCTTTCCTTTTCATTTCTATGTCGTTTCGCGAGTCACCGCTGTGAAGCGCACTTATACACAAGTTTCACTAAAGGCTTGCCTTCAAAAGAGTCGATCATTGAATAGACCTGAACCAATCCTCTGCTACGTGCGAGTGAAGGAGCCTTGGCTGTGCGCTATTGTGTTCCGCTCCGGGATAGCGTGGCTAACTACCTGGAGGTTTTTCCTAGCACACACGACAGAGCCTGGCAAGCTACTACAATATGCCGAAAACAGCAATATGGAATGGGCCTCATTCCCCTGAACCTGAGGGAGCCCCCAATACGGCAGCGTTGGGTAGGACCGCTCGGGAGAGGCTGCTAGAATCTCAGGGCCCGGATAGGCTGCCTAAACGAAGAAGGACTAAGATGGCGATCTGTACTTTCAACGCAACGCTTGCATCCGAAGCTCACATCGAAGATCTGATGATGCAGGCCAGGAAGATCAAGTACGACGTCATCGGACTGACCGAGACGAGAAGGCACCGCCCGCTACACGCCGTTTTCGATACTGGAGAAGAACTGTTCCTTGGAACATGACAGCAGAGGCGTTGGCGGTGTGGGTGTCCTCGTCAACACGCACTTGGCCATAAACATCGATTCGTACGAAAGCCTTACGACCCGAATCGGACGTTTGAGATTGAGAAGATGTGGTTCAACTCCTGCTTTGACAATCTTCGTCGCCTACGCACCAACATCCAGCTACGACGAGGAAGAACACGAAGCATTCTATATGGAATTCGTCGGCGACTTCATCGCCATGTTTGGCTTAAAGGACGAATTCACGATGAAAAAGCAACCCATTTCAAATTAACCTAGGGATGGTGAGTGGTACACGAAAGAAGGAAGAACCATGAGAAACGGCCCAGAACCCGAGAAATGGACCCCTTCCTTGCCCGTTGATTTGAGCATTGATGCGACTATCATCGCTGTGCCCTCTTCAACGCTACGCTCTCTCACCTATCTAATCACTCACCACGTATAGACCTGCGGCGAGTGATCAGATGATCGGTGGGCGTGCACTGACCAGCCGCGGCGGGATTAAACCTTAATAGGTCAACGAGGTCAACTCCTCCTGTGCAAATTGTGCTTCAGTTCGCACACTTAGGAGCTCCGCGGGTCCCTCAACCAGGTGAATTCTTCCTAATTCGATTTTCCCTCTGATCGTGAATTCGTCCTTTAAGGAAACGGTCTGCCAGATTGCACGTCGATTCACGAGATGTATTGGAATGACAAGGCGAAACGACTGTCTGAGTTTATCATGTCGACCAACACCATCCCATGGTAACTCACAGTTCCAAAAGCCCTCTCACCTTCGTTGGACTTGGGAGTCACCTGATGGACAGTTCCATAACGAGATAGACCACATCATCTTCAATCGAAGGTTTTGCCTGACCGACGTCGCTGTTGTTCCAAAGTTCTACACGGGATCGGACCATCGTCTCCTCCGCGCAAGATTCCACTTCTCGATGCGTGTTGAGAGAGCAGCAAAGTTCAGGAAGCGAAGCCCCAGGACAGTCATCAACTGGGACCACTTCGCTTCTCTCATCTTCACGATTGTGGCAGGAAGGCAGAGAGTTTGAAAGTCAGCAAGGGACGTCTGTCTCCGAACTCTTAAGCGACAGCGTGGAGCCGCACGAGCTGCAGGCAATCACCAACTCACGTCGAGCTTGCGAAGCTATTGCGGGAGTGATAGGAGATTTCGAAGGTGAAGAGCGCAGTTCACCGGAAGCCCAGCAGAGGCTGAGAGGAGATCGCAATGCCGGCCTGAGCTTTGCAGCTGCAAGACTAAGACAACTGCCTACGAGGCTCGGAAGGCACAGTTGTGTCCAAGGACAACGGGAAGTCCCTCTCGACTTCTACTTCGACACTTCGTAGCTGTCATTGCTTACTTATCCCGGCCATGATTATGATACCTTGTTCGTCTTCTCTCTTCGTAGTCGACACGCCGTGTACGCGTTTACCTGTCGAAATGCAGGACCCACCCAGTGGAACAGCACGAACTGTACAGAACGAAGTTATACGCATGGCAACTATCGCCCAATCTGCCTGCTGTCTGTAATCTACAAGCTATTCACTCGAGTCATCCTTAACAGGATCGGCAGAATATTAGATGAAGGACAGCCATGCGAGCAAGCAGGGTTTCGAAGAGGGTTCAGCACGATCGACCATATCCACACGGTTACAAGACTCATTGAAGTTTCACGAGAGTACAAGATGCCGCTTTGTCTCACGTTCATCGACTTGAAGAAGGCCTTCGACTCTGTGGAGACAGGTCAAGGCTTTCTTCAAGTCATCGAAGCCTTGGGCAACCAGGCCGTTCCTACTCAGTACATCAAGGATTTTCTGAGCTCAACTTACGACCAGGATCTCACCATTTCTTAAGGAACTTATCACAGACGTCGGAGGTTCGACCGCGACCGCCACTCGTTCCACTCTTCAGCGCCGCTCTCGAGAATTCATGCGTCAACTGGAATGGGAAGACATGGGAGTGAAGGTCGACGGCCGGCAACTACACCACCTTCGTTTTGCTGACGACATCGTTCTTATAACGCCGAACATCGAGCAAGCGGAGCGAATGCTGGCTGATTTCGACTGCGCCTGTGGTAAGGTTCGGTCTACAGCTGAACCTAACGAAGACGATGTTTATGAGAAACGGATTGGTTTCTGATGCCCCATTCACGCTCAACGGAACGAACATCACCGAATGCTCCAGCTACGTGTACCTAGGTCGGGAAATCAATATGATGAACGATCTAGCTCCAGAGCTGAGCAGGAGGAAACGAGCGGCTTGGGGAGCGTATAAGAACATCGAGGGAGTAGTGAAGAAGACGAAGAACATCCGGCTCCGTGCCCACCTCTTCGATTCCGCTGTCCTTCCTGCCCTAACCTACGCCTCAGAGACTTGGACTCTGCGCAGGCAGGACGAGCATGCGGTCAGCGTTATCCAACGCGCTGTCGAGAGGACGATGCTAGGAGTAACCCTATACACGCAAGTGCAGAGGGGAATCCGGAGTGCCGAACTACGCCAACGATCGAAGATCAGGGACGCTGCCGTTTTCGCCAAGGAATCGAAGATCGTTGGCTGACACGTCATGCGATTCTGTGTAGACCGTGGTAGGGACGGTAGTGCAGTGGCCTCAAGTGTTAGTACCGAGCAAAAGCATTGATCCGTCAATGGTGTAGCGCTGCGGTCCACGTTTGTGTTTGAGCCGGCCACGGGATCGATACTACTAGATGTCAAAATCTTTGCAACTTTTGTGGGTTATTGCCTTTCCTCTAGAATTCTTTCACCGTCAATAAGAAGGGCTCCATAGTGCAGTGGTAGCGATGCCGCTCATGGGACGATGCACCGAAGGTTCAAACCCGTGTGTGACGCGACTTTTGCAAGCAACGTGGTGGATGCTCACCACTTCGCCTATGGCAAACCGCCATTGGATCAATGGGGACGTTCCACGCTGCCGCTGGCAAGCTTGCTGGATCAGCACCGCTTGGAGACTAAGACTTGCAAGCAACATCCATTGCATACCTTTCATCAACATCTCTTCCAGTGTTGTGGTCGAGTGATCCCTGGTGCAGTGGCAAAAAACCAGCCTATGAGCCCTACCATCCAGGGCTCAATTCCGAGAGAGTTGCAAGTTTTGCAGGTCGGGTGGCGAGGCTCGCGGTTTCAACGAGGGTCATGTCCATGTTTCCACGTTCTCTACTCCTCGCCAATACGAAGCGATAAAGGAAGATCTCAAGGAGCGAAGAGCAGCAGTATTAGCTGAAGCAGCAGAGGCTGGGAGGAGCATCCGCAATGCCCGCCGAAGCTTTGCCAGCTACAAGACCAAGATGACCTGCCTCCGACGTCCGGATGGAACAGTTACTGCATCCCGAAGGGCAATGGAGAAAGTCATCCACGACTTCTACTCGGATCTCTTCGATAGCCATGTCCATCTGCCTACTTATCAACCGCAAGAGGATGGATACGTTGTCCCTCAGTTCTCTCTTCCGAAGTCCGACACGCCGTAGTCACGCGTTACCTGTCGAAATGCAAGGTACCCACCCAGTGGAAAACCAGCAGAACTGTACAAGAAGGGAGACTTGGACGACATTGGCAACTATCGCCCAATCTGCCTGCTGCTCTGTCTCCACGGAGTCGAAGGCTTTCTTCAAGTCATCGAAGCCTTGGGCAACCAGGGCGTCCCTACTCAGTACATCAAGGATTCTTCGTGAGCTCTACAGCAACTTTACGACCAGAATCTCACCATTCTACAAGGAGGTCATCATCGACGTCAAGAGAGGGGTTCGACAGGGCGACACCATCTCTCGCCCAAACTCTTCAGCGCCGCTCTCGAGAACGTCATGCGTCAACTGGAATGGGAAGACATGGGAGTGAAGGTCGACGGCCGGCAACTACACCACCTTCGTTTTGCTGACGACATCGTTCTTATAACGCCGAACATCGAGCAAGAGCGAATGCTGGCTGATTTCGACTGCGCCTGTGGTAAGGTGGTCTACAGCTGAACCTAACGAAGACGATGTTTATGAGAAACGGATTGGTTCCTGATGCCCCATTCACGCTCAACGGAACGAACATCACCGAATGCTCCAGCTACGTGTACCTAGGTCGGGAAATCAATATGATGAACGATCTAGCTCCAGAGCTGAGCAGGAGGAAATAATGGATGTAAATCACCACATTTGACTGCCAGTCTAGGGCACTTTACTACCGTCCCAGAGTGGTTGCCGACTGGATCCCTCGGGACGTCAAACGAACACCTGGACGACCGCCGGCCCGATGGTCAGACTTCTTCACGAAAGCTCTGAACGAAAGGAATGAAGGACTTCGTGTCCCTCGAGCGAGGAGGGTCCACTGGACAACTCTGCACGCGACAGGGACGAATGGAGACGTTGCTGGCGCCCGCTCGAGCAAATCGATGATCAACGGGACGACAGGTGATACAGGTGATAAGTATTAGGTGGTCCATAAGTCTTGCAACAAATTACATTTAATGCTAGAGAATTTTTGTGAGAACTCCGAAAATTCCGCAACATGTTTGTTGACGTAGCATCACCTTTGCAATTTCAGCCAACCGTCCAGCTCGTTGTCTCGCTACTTGTTATGGATATTACACCGATTTCGCGAAAAAAGCTCTTCGTGCCCTTAATTTTTACGAGTACTGCTTGGAATGTTCCGCAAGTCATGCTACACCAAGGATTAGCCAGAAGATGGGCGAGGGCACGCTCTCTCAATTCACGGTGCACGGCGCTTCACTCTGCTCAGCGTTGACTTTTTTATTTGAAGATGATCCACACTCCGTGACTGGCAATCACGATGCTCTATCTGACGCTGTTGAAAAGGGATCTGGATAGACTATCGATCATTTGCTAGAGCGATTCGATGCGACAAGGAGACAGCACTGTGGCATCTCCAAAGACTTGTGAAGATCCGAAAATATAGAGTTTGGATCCCACATGCCTTGAGCCCGATTCAGCTCCAAACACGATCTGACATCGTTATGTTCAAGTCGACTTACTATGGATTCTTCGATTGACCATCCATCACATTTGCCGAAGATGAGGAGTGGGTACAGTGTGCTAACAAATGAACAAGCGGCGGTAGTCCAGCTCAAACGCTTCGGGAGATCTTACTGCTCAAGTTCAACCTCGTCCAAGTAGGGCCTTCTCGGATTTTTGGTGGAACACGAGAGGAGTTGAGCTCTGGAAACCCTACGTGTAGATGACGC